CAAGTTCACCGGACATGAGCTGCCCATTGGTTCGGCTGGAGAAGTCATTGTTCGGATGCGATGGGATGCGCAGATGCAAAGAAACAGATGCGGAATCACTCCCTAAAATGCCCTCAAACATCCTAAAACGCCCTCATGGAAGTGAATGGCATGGCCCCTTGCATGACCATTGTCCTCCACAAACAGGTGATGAAACCCCCTTCCACATTTTGATTCCGAGATATTCGGAGTCTTGATGCGGAGATATTCGGACTTGTAGAGACCTGTTGAATCCAGATGCCACATTCGAATCGCAGTCTTCAGTCTTCAGTCTTCGATCCTCAGCCACCTGTTTGGAGCGGTCATTGGAGGCCTCCGGTCTGAAACCCCCTCTGCAACCTCTTGAGGAAACTTAGCGAGCCAGTTGGAGGAGAGCGACGCGAAGATCAAATCACCCAACGAGTTGGACGGGAACCCTGAGAGCGGCCACGTGCTCACGGAGCAGCCTGGTGACGCGAAGAAAGGGCGCTGCTAAACGAGTCGAAGAGTGACGGTCAGGATCAGAGGTCCAGATCTTTTTGGAGAGGGGGGGAGGAAAGAGGAGGCCTTGTTTGGCAGAATCAGATTCATGGAGTGCATGCAGAGAAAGAGAGAGAGAGAGAGAGAGGGGACTTCAAACCAAGTTCCTGGTGAACCCATCCCAAAGACCTTTCAAAGAAGCTACTCAGGGCTCCTGGCATCGCTACCAAGGAGCAAGGACGCTACTAGGGGCTCCTGGCCTTACTACTAGGAGCAAGAAGCTATTAGTAACAACAATCTCAATATCATATTATATAATATTCCACTCTGGGAAGCACCATCTGGGTAATTGAGCCGTTGCTCGTCTAAGCGGAGTTCATCGGTTGCCCTCGAAGACCAAACATTGCTTGATAGGCCCTTTCATCTGGCTCGGTCACAGGCATCTGACTCGTTCCCAGGAATGAACTTGATCCGAGAAGTGGACTCAGACCATTTTTTATATCTTTTTGTATTTGTTCTTTAAATGCCTTCAGATGGCTTGTATTTTTTTCAGAAAGTATCTTTATACACTTTACACCTTGAGACCTTAAAACAAACTTCTTTAGACCTTTAGACTACTCTTTTTGCCTTTTGATTTTTACATCCTTTTTTCTTTATTACTTTTCCTTTAGATCTTTAGACAGTTTTGTATGTTTCCCGTGAGACCTAACATGACCTCAACCAGCACCACCAGCACTACCCTGGTTATCGGATAGTTATTAGATGGTCAAGCAATATGAAGCCATGGGGTTTTGGGGAGGTCTGTAAAGGCACCCGAATTGGATGGTGCTGGCTGGAAGTGACTACTTGTCCAGACACAAAATGACACAAACACACAGATGTATAATGCTATACAGTATGTATAATGATATACATGCATATAAACATGCAAGAGAGTTTTACATGTGTCATGAAAACATGTGACAAGGAAATGCAGTAATCTATACAAATATAGACTATTTTCATATATCAGGGTTTTCCTCTGTGTGTCTAACTAGACCTCCTTAGAGGTTGGGTATCCATTCACCACACCAAACAGGGGGGGGCCCTGTATATCTATCACACACATGCATACACAGCCACTACATCCAGCAAGGAAGATCCTGAAGGAGAACCATGGAGATGAAGCCATCAGAAGCTTGGGCATGGAAAACCGCGCGTACTACTTCCGCGATTCACCACAAGCTGCGGACCGGCAAGAGTTCCACGAGCGGCTTTGGAAGATCCAACCCGACCGAAAAGTGGACCACCCTTCAGCCAGTGGTTTCAGAGCAGATGGCGAAGTTCGTTTTAATCACCTTCCTTTTTGGGTATTTTGTTCGGTGGGGGAATCACGAACCCCCACTGAAACCAGAAGAAGTGGAATGTTCTGGCTTCACCTTCATGTTTCAATCATCTTGGGCATTCGGAAGAGTGACACCTCAAACCCGCCTTGGGTTTCACCCTCCCCCAGGCGGGTGCTGAAAAACCTCGAATGGAACCTGAATGACCTCTATTTTGGACCACCAACCACCCCAGATATGGCCCAACTTCCTATCAAAGCAGGGGTCAGTTAGTTGGGTTCCAGCTATATCTCGCAGCTGCTGGCGCCAGCAACGTCGGGTGCTGGAAGCACCGAGGCGTGGAGAACATGCAAATGGGCCTCAATGAGATGCTGCTGTGGCACGGCACCTCCAAGAAGGCGGCCGAGACCATTGCGGAGGACCGAGCGCCGGACCTTCGCGCGGCGCGTCGAATGGAGGTAGTGCGTCGGGGCCGGAGGGATGAGCGACGGATGGAGCGTCGGCTCGAGATGAGGGTGGAGCGTCGGCCCTTCTGAAGCAGGGTGCGCCATGCGAGTGGAAGCTGTGGCATCCAGTAGCTTGTCATGTCCATGTTCAGCTGGGGGAAGATCTCCGTCTCGTCTCGTCGGATTTTCTGTGAAGATCGGCCACGGCCACAGGGGCAGTTGTTTCCTTCTTTCACCTAGTCCAGGGATCTCCAGGTTCTGAAGAAAGTGCTTTACACTGGTGAAGAAGGTTGACACAACTGGAATCTTTTCATCACCAGCAATCATGAAAGTGGATGGCATGGCCCCTTTTTCCTCTATACTACAAAGCTGCGTTTTTCCACTTCCATGGTTCGTTTGGGGAGGTTCGTCAAAGTAGTCACCCAGATGTCACGAATCACAGAGATCTCTGGAGCTAACCGGAGTTGGATCTCCTGCCTTGCACAGGTTCTAGAGAAATACTATCAAGCTCCCTCTCTCTAAGACCAAACCTCAGATCTTCTGCACTTCCTAGAAGGTCCTTCCGACCGACCTCCCACCCACCCACGCGCGCACCACGTGCGCACCGCACCGCAGGAGGGCTTCTTGGTCGCCTCAGCGGCCCATGGGCGCAGGTTTGGGAACGGCGTGTATTTGGCCGAGGATTTGACCAAGAGCTTGGACTATTGCAAGACGGACGACGCTCGGCACGTGTGACACATCGAATCAGTGGCGGCTCCGGATGGCCACTGAAGTAGGGGCGTGCAAGGATTTTTTTTGTTTTGGACTGTCTTTCCACCACCGAGCAAGCAGCCGAAGGAAGCACCAGGACCGCGGTTTGAACACCGCAATACTTTGGGACGGGACAGTGTTCAAGTTCCTTCGCCCCACGAGTCCTGGGTCTTGGAGACTGGTTGCCCAGGACGGGATCTACTACGTCCTTCTTTGCAGGCAGGACCGGTGATGACAAAGGCGGACACAGGCTCATTGAGAAAGACCCAATGAATGACTGAATGACCGAGGTTTGCGTTTGAGCGTTTGAAGATCAGGAACTGGGAACCGTCTTCCTGCTTCACTGAAGTTGGACAAACATCCAACTTTTCTATCCGGTCTAACTGCCAACCTCTTAACGCAGTGCATCCTTTGGACGCAACAACGTGCAACGTCAGAGGGACACAACACCTGAAAGCAGACATCCAAATGATCAAGTGACCAGATCCCATATGCAACCTTGCGCAGCTTTTCTTCAGCTCACTTCCTGCCATTCAGGGCCACTTGCGGGCACATCTATTACACGGAGAAGGATTGGGACTCCGGGGCAGACGGCCCGGCCAAGAGCAGAGGCTGTTCTTGTGTCCTAGCCAATCCCAACCAGCGTGGGCCGCGGGAATACATCCTCTTCGACGTGGGGCAGGTGTATCCTGAGTACATTGTAGAGCTGAAGCGCGAATGAGTAGCGCTATGATACTATGCTATTTTAATGCAGCGTGTGGTTGAATCAGCACCTCGTTTTTGGGTGTGACCTCTGTCGGGCAGGCAGGGAGAGCCTCTCCATGGCCAGTTACGAGCCCCGGATCACCACCAGATACAGATGGAATTTGATGGTTTGTTGGCCTCCAAGTGCAAAGCAGATGGAGAGGTTGGTCACCGGCCTGTTGGTCACCCCATTGACACATAGCCGACATCCCAACCCCCAACTCTTCGCCTGAATAGGCTGAGGACTTGTGCATGAACAGACTCACTTGCCTGTCACAGCCGATCTGGCAGTGCTCCGAGTTCCAATACTCACCACAGCCCGCTCACCACGCATGGCATGATAGGATACCAGGATATGATAGATCTCCGCTGATCTGGAATCCTTTGTCCCATTCCCATGCTCAATCTTAAAACTGAGGATGTCTTACCGCGCCGGAAACTTCCCGCGCTGGTTTTCCAACAACCACTGCCGAGACCGACCCCATCGGCTGTTTCCAGCGTGTCCAACGGTGACCGCCTTTACGGGCCCGAGTCGGCGCCACCGCGGAGCCTCTCCGCGAGTCGCTCCGCGTCGCGTGTTCCACGCGAGCGACCGCGCACCACGAAGCGGGTTTCACCAGACCGGAACCGCTGCTTTTCAGCGCGCGAAGTGCTAGAAGTTCAAGAAAAGGGGCGTTTGACGGTGTTTGGATTTATGCGTTTGTATGTTCCTGGATCTTCCCAGTGACCGAACTTGATCCCCTGGTTGGTTTGGTCAGAAAAAGGACTACAGGTCACTGCATGGATGGGACTGGAAAGTTCGGTCACTTGGTTGGTGATGGATGGTGATGGTGCGTTCAGGAGTCACTATTTTTAAGCGGCGCTTCCCCAGGATGAGTTCCGTCAGCAGCTGGATTGGACACATAATTAACCCGGACACATACTCGATCCGACGGGGAACAGGTCCATAAAGCAATGCAGGTGTTGCTTCTTTCCCTTCCAGAAGGGGTGCCCAAGCCGGAAAGGGAAAGGCATGTTCAAAAGGGGGCACTACAAACATCACAGGTGCTTTTCGGAAAAGAGTCCAATCCCGATGAAAGCTGCTTCAATTTCAACACATCCATTGTGCAATGTTTCAACAATCCATGTTGACAATCCATGTTGAAAACAGTAAACCATTCAACCCATGTTCTTCTGTTTCTTTTGTCTCCTTTGATGCCCCCCCGGCCCTCCGAACCGGCCGAATCCTGCGGAGCCCGAGGTCACTTCCATCGTCCAGTCGCTGTGTAGATACTGCACTGGAACGCCGGTGGCACGGGCAGGGGAACCCGGGGGGGTGGTTTCGCGCATGACATGCAGATTCGGCAGAGATTGTGGGCATGTTTCTGATTGAAGGGATCGGTGAATCGTGTGGGGGGCGTGGCCCAGGTGCTGAACAAGTTCATGGAGAACAACTTTGAGAAGTTGGAACGCTTGCTGGAGATGCATGAGGAGCTCGGAAAAGCCTGGCCCAGAGCCGATCGAGAACTGAGGGGGATTTTTGGGTCAGTGGATCCCCCAAAACCCATGGCGAACAGATGCAGGTCTTGTTTAGGGTTCTTCTGCCTGTTTTTCGCTGGAACACTGGGGGGTTGGTACTGCCCGCTCCAAGCCCTGTCGTCCCCACAGTTCGACCTTTGAACCCTCACCCTGAAGGGTCGGAGGTTTCGACCTCCGACCCTTTGACCTGGAGCATTCGGATGGATTCGGGTTCACCTTTTTCGCGGTGACTGAGACGCTCCGTGAAAACAGCTCGACGGGTCCCGAACCAAACCTTAGGGATTGGTGAGAAGGTCCGGACCCCTCCAGAGGATTCGGGTCCGGCCCCTACTGAACGGAGGGTCCAGGGTCGCGTCTGGGTAGTTCTGATCCCTGCAGTCCCGTCTGATGGCCGAATTCGCTGGTGCAGGAGTACCATCGCTCGGTGCTGGAGGCGGACCGGTTGCGGGACCAGGGCTTGGCCACGACCATTGACCGAGAGCCGCTGGGCAGAGGACCCGGGGTGTTGTTTAGGGCGTGCGTGGTCGGACAGGGGGAACGCTAGTAAGGCTCACCACCAAGTCATGGCAGGGATGACGAACGCCTGAATGAAGTCTGTTGGGGCAGGTTGGATAGGGATCGAATCGTGGCCGTTTGCAGATTGGGCACCAGCGTCAGGTGTGGCGGGGTCGCGTCGCTGGTCGGGGTCGCTGTTCTGGCGGTTGAGGCATCGTCTCACCAAGGTCCTGGTCTCTTGGGCGCAAGTCCGAAAGAAAGACGACAAGAACAACAAACCTACCAGGACCATCCTGTCTGGGTGTCCAATGGACCCCAAACGACCGAATGATAGGGACAGGGCACCCCGACAGGATGGTCCTGGTACCTGGCAAGACGTAGTTGGGAGCATGGGAGGAGCAGTTTTCAGCAACACGATCTTCCGCTGTGCACCTTCGCTTTTGCAGGCTCCGGGCGATGGGCGTCCACGTGGTTCGTGGGTGGTTGTGGACCCGAATGCTTCAGATATGTTTATGTTCAACCTTTACTTGGGACGATAGATCCGACTGACTCATCTAGACTTGGTTCGTGAGTTGAAGCCACCAGGCTTTGCCTAGCAGGCTTGGTGGCACTCCAGCGACTTTACTTTTCAGGATTTGTAGTGGACTTTTCTACCTATTTGGGGACCACTATATATAGGGTCCAAGAATAGGAGACAAAAAAATCGCGGTGGGATGGAGAAGCGTGGACACGCCAGCCAAGGATAGACACAAAAGTCAGGGCACAGGATGTGGTCGATCAACCTGGACCTGGGACTTGACCAGGGCAGGTCAAGAAAGCCAGTGGACCTGATCCCTTCCGTGAAAGGGCTCCAAGAAAAGGAGGCCGAAGGAAAGCCCACCCTTTCAGCCCTTCGGCCCTTCTCTTCTCCTTTCCGACACGACTGCTCTGGAGCGAGCGTCACTTGTTTGCGGATCAGCCCTTCGCTGAGGCTGGAGGTGAATGAAGAGGACCGGGGCAGGGGGGGCCGACAAGCTCATGGGAGGGGGGGGGGAAGGGGAGGCAATTGTTTGTTGGTTTTCATTGGTTTTCTGGAGGTCGTTCGGAAGTGGTGTGAACACCCTTCCAAGAGAGGTTTCAACAGCCCTTTAATGCCCATCCCATATGTACCACGGTCCTATGTCCTAGTTCAGGGTCCTTTCCGGTCTCTCAACCTTTGAACCGTTTTTACTTTTGATTTCTTGGGACGAGAAACCACCGGTGCACTCGACCACAGGTCAATGCCCTGCTTGACCTGGCCACGGCGGCGCCGGGTGGACGAAGATTTGACACCTCGGACGAAGATTGGTGGATCATCAATCCATGGAAATTGGCTCCAATTGATGGAGTCAACCCTTTTCTGACTCCAAATTCTATCCAATCCCATCAGCCCATGATGAATCAACATGGAGGTGCCAAGGCAACTCACTGAGACCTGAAGTTCTGAGACGTGCTCCAAACAGAGGTGGAAGAAGCCTAATTACTGTAGTTTGACTAGCCCTGTTGGGTACCCCAGGTTTTCCGGGTCCTAGTTCAGGTCACAACCATACTGAACCTCTCTGCAGAGAGACCTGAAGAAGTTGGATTCATGTGATCCAACTTCAGCTCTTAGCTCTTCGGCCCAGGAGCAGCTCTTTTTAGATCGCTGCGATGCCGGCCTTTTCACCTTGCAGCAGGTGGACTTGATCCTCGTGCGCCTGGTACGCCCCACCGGACCGCGTGGTGCAGATGAACGGCGATGGAGAGGATCACCCAGAGATCTCGATCATGTAGGTCCCCAACCCCAGACACTCCGTGGGACTGCCATATATGCCACTCAGTTGGGGTGGTTTTGGGGGATCAATGTAGGCATATACGGCATACATGGAGTGTATGGGAACAATCATGGGAAGTGGAGTTCACCCCCGTTGTCATCGTTGTCCAAGGGGCCAGAGCGTCCACGTAACCATGGGTTTTTTCAAGGAGTGTAGATCTCTTGATTTCTATATATAGTACAGTCCGTTTTACGTAAATTTTAGTGTATCATAAGTGGATTGAGAGCAGAATGCCCAAGTTCTGTGGTTGACATGGATGTGCATCCAAAAGACATCTTGGGGTGTCAGCTACTCTGAAACCACTGTCACTGAATCAACCCCTCGCAAGAGGTTTTGCGATCCAAATGGGGGGTTTTATTCATCAAGAGTCTACATTAACATGAGTACGGCTCATTGAGGAGTTCTTCAATGCCCTTCCGGTTCTCTTGGGGTTGAGTAGCATAAACCATATGAATCTAGAAGCTGAACATGCTGGTGCGGGGGTAGTAGATCAGCCTTCTTCACATGTATTCACGGCGTAAGAAGATCTGTCTGGGGCCGCTTCGAGACCAAACCCTTTTGGCCTCGACCCCTTTTCCCGATACCACAGACTCAGACAGAGATTTCGCTTCAGATGCTTCAGGCAGAAGAAGAACTTGCAGCATGTTGATCCATGAAGGGTCTAAAGTGGGGGCCTGCCACTTTCAGAAAGATCCCTATAGTTTCGAGGGGCTCCAGTGCTCGCCCGCTCGCCCCGTCTCGGAGTGCCAGGTGAACATGGGCAACCGGCAGGCCAGTGAAGAGCTCCTTGGTAGAGGTAGCTCGCGGGGGCAACGGCGCTAGGGTTCGTATGATGAGTCGCGGTGCGTAGAAGCGAGCACGTAGCCGGTCTCGCAGCGTGCTCGCTTCTGGTAGTGATGCCCTTGTTACGTTCGTAGCTTCGTGTTACTAGTGGTAATGCCAGGAGCTACGAACGAACGTAGCTTCTTGCTTCAGAACACACAGGTGCTTGTAGACTCGAGTGAAAATCGGTGTTTCGGTGAGGCGGGGGCCATTCTGCCCGACTCAAAAGCCTTGTTCAGCCTCGGCGAGCCCAGCGCCTGGCTCACGGGAGGATTTGTTCCTTGCGAAGCAGCTGAGGATTGGTAAGCTGATGGATGTGAAAGGAGTGAAGCTGGAAGAGATCCGCAACATTGTGGTGCCTGAGCTTCACTTGTGCAACATGTGGTCCGAGGGTTCTGACCTGGGCAGCAAGGGAAGGCTTGATGCATGTATCGGGGCGCATCGGTTTCCCCGCTTTGGGTTTGCATGTGCGAAGTGAACGATGAAACGGTCTGCAAGCTACCTGGCAGGGGAAGAGCTAACTGCTATCCGATGCCCAGGGAGGCCAGTTTTTGAGGTCTTCAACCCCCTCACTACCCCTGGGGCCTCCTGTCTCGCTCGGTCCAAGCACGGCTCTGCGCAGGGGACTGAAGAAAGACGGACAGAGGTTAAGTGACCTACAGAGGTTAAGTGACCTGAACTAGGATTTTACAAGGGTACCAATAGGATAGTCTAGTTTGGGTTCTTCAACCTCTGCTGAGACCCTCGAGATCTAGGCCTCTGACCGGGTAGACGGGTCGATGTAGCGAGCCCAGCACGTTGAGACGATCGCGGGCGGTCGGAATCGTCCTAGACCCCGATGTGGCACACCCACTCAACTTGCTGAAGCAGGTTTTGACCTCAATTGAGCTGAGCCACCATGGCGTTTGGGGTCCCAAAGAACCCGCAGACATGATTCAGCACTTGGGGCCTTGGGGCTTCACCTTTGCTAAAGTGGGTCTTGAAGATACATCAGATTAAACGCTGCTCCAGCTGACCCTTAGCTGCCTTAGCTTGCCTCCAGTCAATCAACATGCACCTCTTTGTGGCTCTTGGGGGCTTGTCTCAGGTGGAGTATTGCAGCAACCTAGGGCAAAAAGCACAAGAAGAAAGAAGGGAGGTGATCTCCTACATGCGTGCGATGCTCACGAGGCAGGCCTTGCACGCCTTCAAGGGCCAATCTTTGCATGCTGGTATGATGACCCTACCCAGATCATCCATGGGAAACACGAACGATCAGATACATTGACGCCATGATAAAACAACCCATCCATGTAGGCAACCATTCCAGTCCCATGGATGGTCTGGGCTACCAAGGCCAGAGAATGACCAAGGCCTTGCAGGTTCTGGGCCAGATAATTTCTGAGAAACCTGTTTAACTCAGCAGAGTTGCAGACGACTCCCCCGTCATAAATTCCACCGACACCTTTTTGACGTGGTGCTAACCTCCAGCCTCCGGCTGATCAGACCATGAGACCATGCTTTCAGTTTAGGCCTTTCCCAGTTCCAATCCGTTCGATGCTTCAAACCACCTCCGCAGCCTTTTTCCCGCCCAACATGCAGACCGTCGCGCGCCGGGTTCTGCCCGGGGGAGCCCGTGCCCGCCATGCTGCGAGGGAGCCTCTCCGGCTCGATGACGCAGTCCCTGTCGATGACGGCCGTGCGCCCGAGCATTCGCGCCAGCGTGACGAGCGGAGCTGGGCACCCGCAGCCGCTGCGTGCCAGCACCATCTCGAGCACCACAGCCAATGCGCCCAGTCAGCGGCGGAATGCCATGCAATGGATTACCTCCAGAATCTCCCAAGGCCAGAGTTTGGGGGAGGGCCAGTGCATTGTGCTGGTTTGGGCTTGTGAGCCTTTTGGTGTGTTCAGAAGTCTGCTCCAACTTGCTACGACTTGACAATGCAATGCTTGTAGACCAGCCCCCCAGTGTGGGCAGGTCTTTTCTGGATTTTGACGCTAGGGCATTGTAGCGTCTACATGTGCCTTGGAATGCATTTTTACAGCGGTTTCGCGCGCGCGCGGGGTCTATCTAAACCACCACGCTCTTGGGGGACTGAGGGATGGTGCTCTCCACGCGCTCCATCCAATCAACATGGTTCCTTAGAACGGGATGGTGGCCGCAGCATGCCGTCTCACGCATCGTATGCCAACCTCCCAGCGCTTCAGACCTGAACGCTGCCCCCCCCCGCGGTTCGCGACCCGCGACCGCGACGTTTCGACCGGGATCTGCCGAAGGGAACGGCTCGAGGATGCCTTTGTTTGGGGGGGCCTCATATCGTGGTCATTAAGTTATACCGTACAGCATAGTGGCGTTTCCCATATCATTGCTGCAGCTACATATCATCGCGTCTTGATCACAGGGTCCGACATGGCATCTGGAGTTGTCAAAGCTTTCATGTCTGTATTTCGAAGAAGGCACCCCCAAAAGAGCACCCAAAGACGCATATCTGATGGTTGGGACACAAAACTCATCACTCCTACCTCCAGATCCTCTGATCGCTGAAGACGGAGCACGCATGACTGCAACCTACCTCCTACCGCCCAGCTTGCCCAGCTGCTGCCCAGCTGCTGCCCAGCTTGCCAAGGTTTGGGCCCGGGTCCTTTGAGGAATTCTCCAACTTCGTGCTGTTTGTTTGGGCGCCTTGTTGGCGTCGTCGTTCGAACGAAGAAAAGGATCCGGTCCGGGACAGTCGAGTGTCCGCAGTGCTGCCGAACCCATGCCGAACCCTGGTCGGATGGTGTAAGGATGCAAAGGATGCCGGAAAGGATGCCTACGTAGAGTAGGTTTCAATCAACTCAAACGCCCCCTGTTGAGGCGACAATGAAAGATTGGCGACACATCTTGCCAAGAACCCCAATGAATTGAAAACTAAGATAGGATGAGTGCGTCAGCACTTGCTTGTGCTCTTGAGGCACATGCAGTTGCAATCACGTGCTATCATTGTCTACCGGCCTATAATTAGATGTTTTCCACGCAAGAACGCAGGTGTCTGTCAGTCTTCTTACCGGTTGCCTAAATTGAAAGAGCCCCGCGTTCATCCCAGTTCTATCCCAGTTCGCCGCGTTCGGAAGACCGCCGGAGTCTTCCGTCGGACAGACGCCAGGCGACTGGTGCACCACTTGCGGCCATGACGGTGTTGGAGGTTTGCATTCGCGTGGCTTCGGTGAAGGGGGGGCAGAAGGTGAAGGCGTGGGGGCTTCACAACGTCGTTTCGATAGGACCACGTGCTGTTTTTTGGTTGGGCTTCTCAGCACAGCTAGCAGATGCTAGCTGCTAGCAGCTGCTAGCCGCTTGGGTTTTCATGGAGGAGATGCTAAGATGCCCTAGTAAAGGGAGGCCTTTTTCAAAAGAGGGGGAAGTCATTGGCGGTTGAGCATGGTTTAGCATGAGAGATGCAGTCAGAGAAAGATGTTGTCACTCGCCAATGGTTCCCTCAAGTAGTCTGGGGCGTTCGAGTGCCTATCAGGTGAAGATCTCATGACTGGCCCTCTGGCCAAGCAACATTGAAGTGGACAATCCCCATCAATCCCCTGTGGGGTATTCAGAACATGGTCAGGGGCCAGCCACAGAGCGCGGCGACATCGCTAATTGTTCGGCCGCAAGAGAAGACAGGAGAAGAGCAGGACAAGAGAAGACAAGAGGAGAGCAATAACCGATCACAGATCCCGGCCACAGAGCGCGGTCACAGAGTTCAGAGGCGGGGCCAATGAGTCGCCCTGACTTCCGTTCGGAACCGGCACCCCTCTCCTTGGAACTCCTGGAGGACTCCCCCACCTTCGTCGCTCCAAAACCGGACACCCCTCGGTGTTCACCCTCACACGGCGAGAGCGCGGCGCATGGCGAGCGCATGGCGAGCGTGGAGGGAGCGATGGGACTCCACGCTACTGCTAGACCTGGAGAACCTGTCTTCTCTTGTCATGCTCTTCTCCTGTCTTCTCTTGTGGGCAATCAGGGATGTCGATCTCGACAAATCATTGAACAAGGAATTTATTGATAAAGCAATTTGCTGATTGGGCGCACCCTGAAATCTGTGGCCGGAATCTGTAGCCGTGCTCTGTGGCTGGGTCCTGTGACCGAGTCGGGTCTTGTCCTCCTCTTGTTTTCTCTTGTCATGCTCTTCTCTTGTCTTCTCTTGGCCGAACAGTCAGGGACGTCGATGTCGACAAACATCATTGATAAAGTAATTTACTGAGAAAGCAGTTTGCCAGGTAGTGCATACCAAGAAATCGTTTCTGACTGCACATAAATTTATGGCAATTTGGCAATTTCCATGAGCAATTCCACGTGTAATGGTATGGATAGCAACTAGAACATAGGAACTTTTTCCACAAACAGTTTACTGTTGGGGTTCTATCTCCGAAAAGAAAGAGCTGGCTGGCCACAGTGAACTCTGTGGCTGGGCTCTGTGGCCGGGGTATGTGGCCCGGTTCTGTGTCCGGGTCTTGTCCTCCTCTTGTTCCTTAAAGAGTTTACTGTTGGTGTTCTATCATAGAAAAGATGGCCACACTGATTGGCCGCGCCTCTGAACTGTGGCCGGGATATGTGGCGAACAAATTATTGTACATAAACATAGCACTTCTATCAACATGCCACGTGTAATTGTATGCGTTGCAGCTAGAAAAAAAAGATTTTCCGAAACAATTTACTATTGGGGTTCTCTCTTAAGAAAAAAAGCTGGCCACACTCATTGGCCCCGCCTCTGAGCTCTGTGGCCGGGATCTGTGACCGCGCTCTGTGGCCGGGATCTGTGATCGGTTATTGCTCTCCTCTTGTCTTCTCTTGTCCTGCTCTTCTCCTGTCTTCTCTTGTGGCCGAACAATTAGCGATGTCGATACCGACGCAAATCATTGATACAGCAATGTGTGATATCTGGCCATCACTCGGAAGTTTCGCTTGGTTAGATAATTACGTGCTTTTCGAATGTTCATTGGGGCCCACTATACATCAAGGGATGAAAGCTCTGATCAACCTCATCAAATTTAAAAACAAACAATGCGCAATCGAAAAGCGAGGTACAGGAGGTAAAATACCCGCAATCGGCCTGGACGCGGGCTGCTGACCTGTGTGGGCGTTACACGCTCCCTTCGGCGCGCGGCAGGGGGGGACGGGGGAAACCCTGTGTCGTGATGCGGTGATTTACTCCGGTTGGCAAGTGCCCGGAGGGAGCATAGCCCATGGGCTACCAGGGAAACACGTGGGGGTAGCGGACCAAGCCAAAGTTGTCTTCTTCTCATACAGTCCGCTGGCCTTGTGCTTCTTCGCTGAGAATGCTTCCCTTGTCTTGAAGTGAATGTCTCCCGTCAGCCGCTGCTGCCTGACCCCCGCTGCTGCAACAATTCCCTTTTCGTCGCTGATCCTACCATTGAACCTGTCCGCTTTGCTCATCCACTCACTGCTCGTCAAAGTCTGTCCTGGCGAGGTCCGTAGGTACCCATTGATCCCACCCCGAGCCAACTGGGGTTCACCGCGCGCCGGCCTTAGACCATACTCTCATCATCTTGCTTGGCGCTGGCCCTAGTTTCAAAATTAATAATCTAAATAGAATATATAGATATTTTCGAAAGCGTAACAACAAGATATCTTTCGATGGTGTAAAATGCATTTTAAAGGTTGGTGATTCAGATGACAATCAAAGTCATCGAGAATAGGAAGTACGTAGAGCGGGAAATAAAGTCTTGTTGAGACGGTTAGGTTGAGTACACACTCGTGGCGGCCGTTTCGGTTCATAGAGATCTTGAGAGATCAAATTTGATCCTACCGTTGGATCTACAGTTCAGGGCCATTCGGTGATGACTTCACTGAATGGCAAAGACCACACGTTTCACGGCCGTCCAGAAAAAGAGTGTAGTGCGAAACCTAAAATTGTGAGCCTAGTGACTACTAGTTACAAGTTAACGAGACGGCTACCTAATAGTGATGACATGATTCAGTGGACTTGCTGAAACGAGAGATTGATACGAACAGACAGACATGGAAATACAAATATAATAAAACCATGAAAACAAAAAACAATCAAGAAAAACGAAACTATATCAAATGAGATAAGTTCGTGGGACCAAATATCTGGATGTTGATGATGAATTAATATCGAATGAAGAATTGTAAAAGAATAGTAAATCTAAGGAATTATTATTTGATATATTTTTTT